ACCAAACTCTGACGTCAATTGAACCCGGGTGCGCACCAAAAGTGCTAGTGTGAAAGCACCCTTAATCACCATTGGTAGCGAGATTTATGGTAATGCTTTTTTCCTCAGTTGATCAGAACAAACGTGGCAGACTTGTTACTTACTTGCTCAGATGGCAATATACGGTGAAAATTCTTATTTGGGTCATATTCCAAGACGTAGGCTAGAATCTGTGATTGCGAAGTACAGTAAATATCTGCCACACATACTCTTCAGAACATTAGATTCATCGGCGCTGGAGCCGCGCAACAACCCGCAAGCTAGATAATTCCGCACACAGCTGCAATTCCAGGTTTTCAAACAGAGATGGCGACAAAGAGGCAAAACTTATGGACTGCAGCTTTAAGTCTGCTTTACCCTTTTACACGCTTCTTCATATTACATCACAAGCACATTCTTTTTAATAAGTTAATAAGTTGATGTATTGCACTCTATTGTAACTATTGCAAATGTATTGCATAACATGAATGACCCAGGTTATAAAGATGAAATGTAGACATAATTCAGGGAACATACTTATCAAATGTTGTCTTGACTTTGAGTTGATAATCCACCTCAGGTAATTTAACCAGTAATCTGAAAAGAAAAAAGTGAAATTAAATGGGCAATATTTGTGTTCAACTAAAGGCAGTCAACTCCTTGTGAAATCAGACTTGTTTACATGAAGAGTTTGGTGGAGGCTGTGGTTCATACCTGACCTTGGTGGTAAACTGCACCTGTGTTTTGATGATTAGAGGTTTCTGAGGGTGTGTAGGCATGCAGGGCTGCTTCTCCACCACAAATGAGCTGCAAACATGACCAAGACAGATTATCCAGGTTTCCTGGTCACCAAGCACAGCCTTTCTATTGTGTTGCATTCTTTGAGTTTCATGTACTGTATTTACGGCACTATAAGCCACACAAAGTGAACTGTTGTGCCTTAATTGTTCATAAATCACATGAAATCCCTAAATGTTACCTTTTAATGAGGTGATAGATGAGGTATTTGACTTGCTCCTCCATCTGAGGTCTCTGGAGAGGGATTGGATCACCCTCGTAAGTGACTTTCAGGATCAGCTCACCCAGTTTGTCTAGCTGTCTTTTCATCTGGAAAAGACTCTGGGCTGTCAGGGTAAACCTGTAACAGTGATTTCACACGAAAATTAGGCTTGATTCAAATTTTAACAAGGCCAATCTCTTAGTAACCACAAAAACACCATTAACAACACCCTTGCACCCTCAAAACCAGACAGAAGATCCTAGCAACTGCCTAGCAACCATTCAGAAAGCATTAGCAACCACCTAGAAAGACCTACACCCTTCAAAAGTTTGGGGTCGGTAAGATTTTTTAAAATGTTTTTGAAGGAAGTATTTTATGCTCACCAAGTCTGCATTTATTTGATCAAAAATACAGTAATATAAAATAGTAATATTGTAAAAAATAATTACAATTTAAAATAACCGTTTTCTATGTTAATATATTTTGAAATTGTTCCTGCAATGGCAAAGCTGAATTTTCAGCAGTCATTACTTCAGTCTTCAGTGTCACATGATCCTTCAGAAATCATTCTAATATTCGGTGCTCAAGAAACATTTCTTATTATCAATGTTGAAAGCTATTTTTCCGGACATTTGTTAGGATTCTTTGATGAATCTCTAATGGAGTTTTTACCGTCACTTTTGAACTATTTAATGCATCATTGCTGAATAAAATATTAATTTATTTAAAAAAAAAAAAAATCAAACTGGCCCCACACTTTTGAACAGTAGTGTACATCACACATTTTTTCCTCCTTGTCTTTGCTGTGAGCATTGTTACAGTCTTATTAGTATGACAACAATAATCTATATTAAACAGCATAACTTAAATTGTATATATATATATTTATTCTATTTCTTTATGTTATAAAGGGTTATACCAGTTCTGGAGCTGGTCCAGTCCTATCAGAACTGGTCCTCCGATGCATGCTATCTGTTGCCTCCGTTTCCATTCCTTAAGCTCAGGGGTGAGCTGGGAGGAAATCAAGGCATCAATTTCCTTTATAACATCTGCAATCTTTGACAAAATCTCCTGCAAAGGTAAAACAAAGTGCAAACGTAGTGGTTAACAATGACCAGCCAACAACAACATATATAGTGGCATCACACACCTGAGCGAAATGTACCAAAGATGTGTGAAAACCACCCAAAAGTCACCCGTCTGAGGCAGGAAGTTCCCAGGGTAGTTCAAAAGTATAATACAATCTAAGTAAACAAAACCTTTAACAAACAAGAAGAAAAGGAAATGGTTGTGAAGTAAAACAATTAAAAAAAAGAGTACTGTCAGAGTAGAGATACACTTGCCTTTCTTTTGAAATCCAGGCGGTTCAGTATTTCCTGAAGTGTAGTGACTTCTTGCTTCATGGATAAAGAATTTCTCTCAACTGGATCTACAGGATATATATATTTACCCATATTATATTATTTGCTTTATTATGTCATAAAACGATAGGAGGGTGGCATTTTTGGAAGATGTCAAAGGTCATACAATGGCTCACCTCGAAGTTGGAGTGTTTTGTAGCGAAAGTCAAAATCGTCCTGCATGTCCTCAAGATACTTCACAGCCTGGTCCAGCATCTGAAAAAAGCATGTAGAAATAATGACACACGTCACACACTGGACTCTTTCATATACCTAAACCCGCAAAGCTGTGATAACGGAAAGCAATACTGGAGGTAAATTACCTGAACGCTGCTTCTTATGATTGCCACTTTGTTGTCAAGAACTTTCTGCTTCTCCAAGGCGGCTGAGTTTTGCATTGACTTCTCCAGTGGCCCCTGCCATTAATGAAATGGAAACATGGAAAACAGAAGATCTAAATGTATACATCCTAAACACGACAACATGAAATTAATCAAATATGTATTGTACTAGGTCACAAATTGAATAAGTGCATTTGTAATATTGGCCATGTTAACTAGGTCAGACTGAAGCACCTTTTGGATCCCACACTGGTATACTGTAATGTCATGTGAGTACATTGCAAAACTCTGAAGCTTGGTTAACAACATAGTTGCATGGGGTATATGTGGTTTTTGCATGCTGTTTGTCACATGTGTCTTGGCAGTACCTGTTCCTGCATGCTGGCTGTGGATAAGATGCGTCTTTCTTCCCTCAGGCAGTTACAGATGACAGCGGCCATGTGCAGAGGATTCGCCTTGTATTTTACCTGAAAGAGTGACGCAACAGCATTTACTGACTGATGTGAGACTGGGAATTTCTAGTCACACCTCAAAGTGCACTGGTGAAAATAAATGAATATCTGTTCAGCTTGAAGGTTTTTTGCCATATGTGTGAAAAGCAGAGGAATCTAACTCCAAGTAAAAAAAGGAGTGGAATCGGTATCCATTGAGGTTTACTGCAGAGGTTTGCAATCAATAGAATTTTGAAAATGTAAGATCTTTGAAATTTGAACTCTGAACTTTGAAAATAAGATCTACAGCATAATTTGCTAATGTGAATGTTTTATCTTACACTCCTTGTCTGTATGCTTATTTTTTATATATATATATATATATATATATACTGATTATATGCTTGATTTGAACGCATATAATGATCATACAAGTATTATAAGAAAGCATATAATCATGCATATGGCTTTAGGAGAGTGCACTTTTGAGTGAATTTTTCCTTGAAGTGCACACAGATCGAGGTTTTGATATTCCTTCAGGAGTTTATGACATTTGTTAGAAGTTACGGAAAATAACAATCATCTGTTAAGTTCATTTGAACTTTAATGTTAGACAAAACAATATTGTGGGCGTTTCGTCTAGGCGTTTTTTTTTTATGCAATATTGACTGATATTTCCAGAGGTTTTTCAAAACAAAACAAATGATGCAAGAACGAAACAATTTTTTTTTTGCAGCTGTCCTAAATACAGTCTATGTGAAAAATAAAAAATGGTCTCCCCCACGCTGTGCTCTGTCATTTAGTTTTTTTGGGGTGGCATACAACACCAGCTACAGACAGATGTAATTTTTTTTAAACAAGCAAAACCCCCGACATTTGATTCTTCTGTGGAAGTTTTTTTTTTCACATTTATCTAGTGAGAAATCCCCACAGCACCCACTCATGAAAATACTGCATAAATGAAAGAAATGTGTTCAGCAATCTGAAACAACATCGAGAGTTTTGCCAGTCAGCTTTTGTCAGTGAATTTAGGTTCTTCGACATCCTGGACTCTTATTTTCTTGTAGTCTACCTACTATAGGAACATTTTCGAGACTGTAGGAATGCACACTACTGTAACTACAGCTAACACATCAAAATGGTATGTTACAGTAGTGTACATGTAGCCATTGCTTATAGACTGCTGGAAAATATTCTTCCTTATTAAATGTGGTAAACTCTATGTGAGGTAAGTGACCTAAGGTGCTAAATATAGGTTAGGACTGTTTCCACTGAAGTCATTGATAAGTTAGCAAAAACCACACGTGAGTACACAAGCTTCCGTTGACAACCGAATACGCACTTAAAATAATTGACATTGTTGTCATAGAGTTATGAATCACAACAGAGATTCTATGTAATTAGCTTGTTGACTATTACTGTAAATCTCAATACTGACCATTAGATAATTTCCTGATAAGTGATGACAGAAAATAAGAGCATGCATTTAAATAAATAGTCACAGGTTTGTTCACAAGTCGTTCAATTTCCTCTCACTTCTCGTTTCAGAGAGTGTGTAAAAATAGGCATGGAGGGATCACTAATGAAACTATGCTTTTGATAGACAACATTCATTCAGTGTGCAAGAAAAATGTTTTCATAAATACACTGAAAAAATTTGGTGTTGAAACAATTTTCACTCAGAAATTGCTAGCAACTTTCACGATTAATTATGGCAAGTAACACATTGAATTAAACATGAAATATTGAAGTATAAAGACTGAAATAGTATTTTCTTGTAAAATGTACTCCAGTAATCTTTGCTGTTTTTTTTTACAGATATGAAACATAATTTTTTACAATGTGGATATCACACTCATGCAGCAGATGTGTGGAATAACAGGAGGGCAGTGTGCATCTGTTACCTGTATCTGATGAAATATTCTCTTTAGGTTGTGTCTGTGAAGAAAGTTCTGCTCCTGAGAACACTGCCTCTCCAGTTGAATGAGGAAGTTATTGAAGAGTACAGTAGCCATAGATTCATGGTTTGAAGCGGTTTCCCTGAGGTGATGCATTCCCTTATGCATTAGAGTTATGTTACAAATGAATAATTCATATTATGAACTACAGAATATTTTAGGGTGGTTGTTTTGTGTTTTTCTCAGGCCGGAAATTCAAATTGGGATTTAATAAAGATTGAAAATACAAATTCTGAGTAGTATGTAAAAACAGCCACATACCAGTCCTGGCTTTCAATCCAGTTGGCCAGCACCTGTCTCAGCTCCATTGGAAAGTTGTCATCATAAAAATAGTCCACCTGTTCAAGGAACTTAATATCCAGTTGCTGGATTTGTTTCCATTGACTCATAGTGGTACTGGGATGAAAAATACAATGGATATCATTTGATATTGCTTTAGGCAATCTATAAATAAAAATATTATGCAATATATCAAATACATGAAAACTATACTGTAATTACATCAAATCAATGGCACCAATAACTTCAGGCACCAATAACTTCCAAATCAGGGAGTGTTTTGACACCAATAGTGTAACCAAGAAATAAGCTACGGTGTGAAACCACTATCAAACACGACCATCATCCTCTTGAGGTGACAGTAGAGGTTGTAAGACTCTTTGTAAAATGATATGAGATTTACATGACAAAAAAGGGAGAGAAAAAAAACGCACAATAGTAAATTTCAGGTCTGGTTTATGAATTGATTTGTTATAATATGATTTATTTCTGCATGGAAAACAAACTACAGTATCTACTAATAATTCTAAAAACATTATAGATTATTATACAGTATTAGCCTGTGTTTATATATTTTCAGTTCCTATTTTATTTGCTGTTATAAATTATATATGTTTACTACGTTAAATGTTAAATTAAGTGTAGAGCAACAGGGTTCACATCTAAGGGAATGCATGAACTGAACTGACCTTTGAATGCAGTGTATGTTGCTTTGGATACCCTTTTGGGAAGATGCTAACATGATCGTGAACTTCATTGTTTAATAAGATCAAAACAATAAATTCATGCACAAAATGTAAAACCTCTATGTGTTTTTATGTCTGTTATGTGTATAAACTAGTTTAATGTGTATTAGACACATATGGGAGTATTGTATTAAAGTTTGAGACAGTGTAAAAAACAAAATTTCCCAATCTCCCCTATATTTTAGCTATACAGTACCTTTCATATAAACATAAATATTGCAACGCAAAGAAATCAAGCTTTAACAAACTCGGAATACAAATGCCAATTCTTTCATTTGTAATAATTGCTTAAAACCGAAACTAAGGTCCAAAGATTTACCTGCTGCTCTTACGAGAATGACACTCCCGAGAAGTTGACACAATGCACCTGCTAGACCTGATGTTTTCAGAGTAACCAGCAGCCACGCGTTTAGCCAGACGCAGTTCCTCAAGAGTCTTCCCCACAGACTACAGACCCTATCCGGCGAGAGGCGCTTCAAATGCTCCTAGAAGTCTGGAGATGCGTGTACGGTCCCGTTTCCTCTCATGAATGAAGTCCTTTCGGGCATGAATGTCAGCTATCTTATCCAGCGATCATGATTGAACGGGTAAACAAACAGGTGGGTTCTTCAAGGAAATGTTGAGCACTTCGCGAACACGGAAACGTCGCACAAGGGGAACTCCCCTATATGATCGCAACAGTCTATGGTTCACACAGGGTATTTTATATTGACCGCCTCAGTCTGACTCACATCTTCAGAATGGAGTATGCAGTTTAATAGACTTATGAACTCACCACTCAAGAAACGTGTTACACATACTGATAACACAGATGACACAACACACTTGATGGCTGCACTGTCAATTCTTCGTATTCAGTTAGGAACCTAGGTGTCCTCTTTGATAGCAATCTTTCAAAGCAATCTTTTCCAGCTTAAAAATATATCTAAATTAAGACCAGTGTCAAATGCAGAAACGTTAATTCATGCGTTCATGACCTCATGGTCAGATCCTTTTCCTATTTATTTTACAGTATAATTACATGTATTATTTAAAAAAAACAATACTTTTTTACTGTATTTACTTTACAGTTTAAACATAATTTAACAAAATTTTACTATGAAAATATTGCCATTTTAAATATAATGTACATTTTCTTGATAAAGAGTTCACTAATTCAAGCGTTTTACTTCTGTTTATTTGCCATATTTTACAGAAAAATTGAATGTTTTCTTTTTTAAACCAATTTACAGTAACATTTTTATATTCTTTAACTATTTTAAATTCTTTCTTTAAAGTCCCCCTGTGGTGAAAATCAAGTTTTTTATGTTGTTTATTTGTCTGTGGTGTTTTTAATATGCTTTTAGACAAACTATGTGCCAATCCATTTATCAACACCATTGCTGAGTATTTTCTCCTTAAAACGGTAGTTTCCCAAAGGCAGTCACAGAAACGCGGTTTGAAACAGACTTTTTTTGCTATGTCACAAAATTCAATAACCAATCGCGTCAAGGGATCCTATCCTTAGCATATCATTAACTGTTCTGCAAAGCAGAGGGTCTAGTGCAGCGCTTCCCAAAGTCCGGACTCCGGTCCGGATCCGGACCCAGAGGCAATTCAATCCGGACCCGCCTCCATTTCGTATTTCAAGAGCACTAATTTCCTATTTTGATAAACTGTTAAACTTGTAAATCATTTGTTTTTGTTTTTTTTTATGTCTTTTTGGAGATGGTCCAAAATGAAAGCAAAGGCGAGATATTTAAAGTTTACCTGCGTGACATTGTTGTTGTCATGACATCCAGTGAGCGTTTGACATAGCCTAATTGGGCGACACTTCACCGCTAATATGAGGTTTTTTTTTTTATTACTTAGATTATGCCGGCCATTTGACTTATAGCAGTGTCCAAGTGTTTCCCATACATTGAGTTATTTGTGGCGGCCCGTCACTATATCAAAACTATCAAAAAGCTTCGATGTCATTTTCATTTCGTCTTTCCTGTAATGCCTGATAAAAATTTGCTGTGTCTCATTTAGAAGGCTGCGCCCTCCGGAGGTCGCATTCGAAGGCTGCATACGTCATCGAGGCTGTCTCATTTCAGAAAAGCAAGTAGGACACTCCGAATGCGACCTTCTTTCACAGGAATTCGGAGGATGCATGAGGTGTATCCTTCGCTGCTACAGATAACCCACAATTCTTTGCGTCACCGTAAACAACCGTTGTTAATTTGAAAAAATGCCGGCGCCGGCAGATGTACACACAAGCGCAGATGTGGTGTTTACAACTTACATTAAATCGCCTCGGTAAAAACGGATAAACTTTGTTTTTAATATCCTCCTTTTTTTTCTCTAACAGATGTCTGCTGTACATACGCTGCAGCTCCTCAAACATTGAACAAAATAAAACAAGTAAAAGCATTTTTTAGAGGATGTGACCTCCAGAGGATTCAACCTCAGGAGGGTGCAGCCTTCTAAATGAGACACAGCTTAAAAGTAGCATTTGTGAGCAGCGCTTATTTGATTACAGCCGTTACTGGGGAAACAGCTATGTCTCCTGCTCCAACAGCGCCTCCTGCTGGCAGAGAATTAATTTGCATTTGCAAGTCTGTGAGAAACACTGGTGTCTGTCAGCAAACATAAACAAAAAGCATGCTTCAGAACTGTTTTGAGAAGGTGCTTAAGTTTT